TTTATTGAAATGTGATCTTATTGAAACTTTCCATATGAAAAGATCCTTTTTCTGGAGAGTTGCTTGGGGACTGGAGCAAATATTACAACAAGAAGCCCACAGACATCCCCAGCTAGGCCAAGAATCTGCCTTTGGGGTGAGATTCCAATAAAGAAGAAAATCACCCACACAGAAATGGATGCTTACGTTGGGGACGTGCAGGTATATACATATTATTGGTCAATAAAAGATTAAAATTTAATGAATTCCAAAAATAAAGTGTCATTGTTTTGGTTGCAGTCTCTAAAGACCATTCTTGTTCCCAACAAGTTTGAGGCAACTGCAGAGTGGTATTTGAACTTCCATCCTCTAGAGACCACAAAACACCCCGAGTTGGATGCATTTGTGGCAAAATAAGAGTGTAGAGGGGAAGTCCACATTCCGGTGGAGAGAAAGAGAAAAGCCCGGAATGTCCCTTCACCAACAAGAGATAATTCTGAAGAGCGTAATGAGCATATCTCCTCTCCCCAATAATCTCAGAGGAGTCAGAACCTTAGGGAATCTCCTCCTAGAGTCTCCCATTCCAACGTCCTAAATCCATCGTCTCCTAACCCTCACCCCGCCAAGCCTTCATCCAATACCTTTCAAGAACTCTTTGATCGAATGTCAAAGAAAATTGATAACATTGCAGAAGAACAAAGAAAGAGGTTTGAAGTGCTTGAAAAAAAGTTGATTCTTTGTCAACTTTAATAAATCAAAAGATTGTGAATAAGGTATGATGAAAGATTTTGAAAGTCATCTAATAATTTTAATTGATCAGAACTGATCTATTCTTATGTAAAAATATGAAGGTGAATGTAACTGAATCAGGAGAAGAACCAACCAAGAATCCGCAGGAGGTACGTCGAATACATCGAATGTATACGAAATGTTCGAATACCTCGAATGCAGTTGAAACTCGAAACGTTTTGTTCAGTTTTAAATTTGTAAGATCTGTTAATGTTCAGGTGCCAGAGACGACAATCATGGGTGATTGTGAGGAGACTGAGACACGAAATCCTTCCCCTGACCATAAGGTTTGGGGTTTAATAGAGTTATTTCATTTTGTTTGCATATTTTAAATGAAATAATAATATCATTTCATTCTTCTTTCTCATCATTTTCATACTTCATACTCTATAGGTTTCTCCAAGACTTGGTATTCTCCAAATTGTTGGAGAAATTAAACAAGAGCACGAGAATCAACCTTCAACCTGATTCTGTTCTTAGTTTAGAGAACAGAAAGGTAAAGTTCTAATCTTAACTTACAATGCATTGTCCTTTCGAAAATAGATTCATATTTTTTGTTCTTGTCTGCAGGCTGAGTCTACCCACGAGACAATGGGAACAGAAGATGCTACCTCAATGAAGCCTCTGCAGGAAATGGTAAAATAATAAATCTTACTACAAGTGCCTTCGAAATATAGTCATAGTGTTCAAATGTATTCGAATTTTTTGCAGGTTGAGTCTTGCCATGAGGTAATGGAAACAGACGCTGATGTTGCTTCTATGAAACCTCTGCAGGCTGAGTCTACCCACGAGACAATGGGAA